TTAGTTGTCATAGCTAAACATCCATGTTATAAAACAAACAAGTCATCTTATTTAATTAACATTCAATTAAATATTAATTTAATCCAAATCTAAAACATCTCTTTACTTCAAACTCATAATCTTAATCCTTACATCAGTCCATAGTTCTAGGTTGCCTTTAATCCAATATATGAAATTTTAAAGTTCATTTTTCAATCTTATTCTAGCTTTCCTCTTATGCCAGGCAGGTTTCCATAGCAAAGCTTCCCTTCCAGGTGATGAATCTCTTTTTGTTGCTTATAGTGTCATTTGATGATGCAAGTTACACATCTCCATCCCTTCTCAGGCAGGCATTGTTGTTCAGATGTTGACCAGTGTCTAGTGGATATGGGGAGGAACTGGCTCCAACTCAATGCTAATTTATGGATTGACTCAGGGCTTTGGGCCTCCCTTGATCCTGAGATGTCATATTTGGCTCTCAAGGGAAGATCACTCCCCTCAACAGAGCTGGCATGCAGTTTAGAGTCCTTGTGGATTCGCTACTCTTGCTGAAGGAGCAGGTAGCAATCCTAGCTACTGGTAGGTGGACCTTTATACAGATCCATCTTGTGCACCAGTTGTGCCCATTTCTGGATTGGGAAGCCTTGTTCATTATCACTCATGCCTTGATGACTTCCTGGTTGGATTGCTGAAATATGCTCTACCTGGGGCTGACCTTGAAGACCATCCAGAAATTATAATTGGTCCCGAAGGCAGCAGCTCATGCAGTGCTGAGTGCCTCTCAGTTTGCTGCTGTTTGTGTTGTGCTGGCTGCTATCCAACCCATAGGCACTGGAATTAGGTAAGGCTGGAGCTCAGTGACTGGGTTTGTTATCTATTGGAGAATGTTAATTTAGAGCCTAGGAGTTGCTTGTTTTTGTTTTTATTTATTTAGGAATATTGTTTTCTATTAGCTTTGTCTTTAATGTTCTTATCACTGCTACTGTGAGCTGCCCAGAGTTATGGCACATAAGATGAACGGTTTTCTAAATGTCTTTAAATAAATGGACAGTCCAGGTTCTTCTGCCTTCTGTTTGTCCTTAAATGAACTCTGCTTATCTCTAGCTTCTTAGACACTGCACGAGACTCCTTGTTTAAAAGAGACTGAAAAACAAGCTGTGTGGACTGGATTGTCCCCTTCTTTAAGACCTGCCTTTAATTCACATGATCGGTGTGTGGTTGCTTTGCTTTGGAAAGGTGGCTTTGTGACACAATCTGTCTTGAAAGTCAAATAAGCCATCTCTGGGTGTGAATTTGATTCCCTTATTAAGTCAGCTCAAAGGATATGATGGAACTGAAAAGACAAAGTGAGATCCAATTATAAGAGACTAGAGAGTTATGGCAGATCTTTTCAGCACCTTGGACAGATCACTTTAAGTAGAGTTGTCTCGGCAATTTAATCTGCTTTATGAAGGCTCCCTTATTCCATCCCCCGAAGACTCTGTTAGAGTCAGAGCCATGGTTTGAATGATCCTGACTAGACATCAGTTCACTAGATGATTTTATTTTTATTTATTAAATGTATATGCTGTCCATCTGACGAATAGTAACTCTGTCACTTTCCACCCTTGTATCCTCAGAGTCACAGATTAGGTCAAGTTAGACAATATGGTGGTCAGGTTACCACAGGACAATGACCATAATCAGGTTTGGTTTCATTGGTGGCTGAGTTCCTATGGCTTGCCAAATCCTATAATGGGATTATACTTTCATAATCGCTATAGTCATGGAAGAGGTTATACCCAAAACAGATCAGATGTCAGAATCCAATTATATTTCATCTTTAATCATCAAATATAGAAAACCCCAATTCTGCCTTCTCTGGATTCTGCCATAAGAGGGAGAGAAGGGGGAGAACAAAGGGGCTTTATGGCCCTCACTTCCTTCAGTATGAAGGAATGTGTTTATTGCAACCTCAAAGAGTTTGAATGTAAATAGCACCAAAGAACCTTACCATGACAAAGGGGCTATTTACCTTTCATGTAGGGTATTTGAAGTCTCCATCCAGAAGGACGGAAGAAAGCATCAAAGGGGTGGAATTGTGATGCCTGAAACTATCACTGGAAGGGGGGGGTGATTGGGTGGGACTGCTGGGGAACCCCTTAAAACCTTGAATGGGAGAGCTTGGATCCCAAGTCCTGTCTAGCATGCCTGCAGCCACTTCTTCTTAATAAAGGATTCCTGTTGGAAGAATTATTCCAAGAGTTCTGTCTTCTTAAGATGCAAAGTGGGGTGGGTCCTTACATCAATATTATTATGACTTCCTATGGTGGCTTGATTTAAACAATTTATTATGATAATAAAGTACAGCTCCCCTACCCTAAACACTGAACCAAACCAATTTTAAGCTAGTTTAGTATAAATGGCACCAATCCAATCCTTCTGCATGTCTGCTCTAAAAATTCAGTACAGTGAACACACATATCTTGATTTACAGCATACGCTCAACGTCATCAGTGTCTTATCTGCTTCATTGGGGAATGTTTCTGGGAGTGTCATACACATGGTATCTATGTACTCTGTGTATGTGTGTCTTTTGAAAGAGAGGTCTACCACCCTAGATAGGCCCTGAGGTGCAGACTTTGCAAAGAAACAATCCAACACATAGTGGCAGGGTGTAAGATGCAGGCAGGCAATGGACGGCACAACCAAGTAGCTAGCATTGAGGACAGGAACATCTACACAGTGTATAGGCTAGACTTTCTCCGGGTCTGGATGGGAGACCCTGCAGAAAGCTGTGCAAAATAAGATCATATGAGATTTCCAGATCCAGACAGACAGACAGGTAGATACTGGCCAATCAACCAGGTAGACGAAGGACCTGAAGTCAGCGGTGATGATAGCATTGCCAGGTGACAGCAACATCAGGAAGAAAGGAGTATGTATGTATTATATGCCATTACATAGCCTTGTAATCCTTTATTTATGGGCATCTGCAGGAGGCAAGTGACATGATGTGCATTGTCATTGCAGAAATAATACAACATGACATAATTTCTCATGACATGCATGATACTACAATGGCTTTTACCAAACGCTGATAGGTCTAAGGGGGTGCCGTTAATCCAGCGGAGGTATATCAAGAGGATTTTTTTTTTTAGCCTAAGGCTTTCTTTCTTGCTTACTGTTCCTGGAGCATCACAGCCAATATTCTATTTTTAACACTTTCCCCCCCTTTATTTTCTACAATAACACAACCTCAATGACCCATGAATGCATTAGACCCCAGCTTCTTGGAGCAGCCTCTCTTTTGAAACTAGAAGTGTGTGTGTGTGGGGGGGGGTGTTTGTGAAAATTACAGCTGAGTCAAAGGGTCTTAAACCAAATTCTGCTGTGAACTTTTCAAGGGAACTTTTTTCATAACGTAAAGGAGAAAATGGAAAAGTCAAAAACTGCAAAGATTGTAAGTGCACAAAAAAAGGTCATAAGCCCCCTTTTTTTCCAGTGCTGTTGTAACTTTGTACCGTCACCGAATTAACTGTTGTAAGTCGAGGGCTACCTGAATTGGACACACAAGGGCTGCAAAGGTTCAACTCAGAATGTTGCTGCATTACAAAATGACCCTTGAGAATGTTCCAGGTGCTACAACACTTTTGGATTTGTGATTATGGAGAGCAAAACTTGAAAAAGAAGACAGCCCACATTTTATACAATATTGCTTCTTTTATGGGGATCTCTGAGTCCTAAATCATTTAAATATGAGCCAGCCATGTGCTGCAGCTGCCAAAAAAGCCAACACAGTGCTAGGCTGCATTAACAGAAGGATAGAATCAAGACCATGTGAAGTATTAATACCACTTTACAATGCCTTGGTAAGGCCACACTTGGAATCCTGCATCCAGTTTTGGTCACCATGATGTAAAAAAGATGTTGAGACTCTAGAAAGAGTGCAGAGAAGAGTAACAAAGATGATTAGGGAACTGTATTGTAGGTCTTTGTATTTTGTTATCTTCTCCAGTTCTTTCTCATCTATTCTGCTGTCTCCAGGCACTGCCACGTCCACTATCCAGACTTTTTTGTCTTTCTTATCGACAATTGTTAAGTCTGGGGTGTTATGTTGCAGGTGCTTGTCTGTTTGAATTCTGAAGTCCTCAGAGCAGTTTAATTTTATCATTTTCTATGACTTTCTCTATTTTATGATCCCACCACTTCTTCTTCTTCTTCTTCTTCTTCTTCTTCTTCTTCTTCTTCTTCTTCTTCTTCTTCTTCTTCTTCGTCTTCTTCTTCTTCTTCTTCTTCTTCTTCTTCTTCTTCTTCTTCTTCTTCTTCTTCTTCTTCTTCTTCTTCTTCTTCTTCTTCTCCTCCTCCTCCTCCTCCTCCTCCTCCTCCTCATTATTATTATTATTATTATTATTATTATTATTATTATTATTATGAAATATAAGATAGCAAGAAAAATAGGGGTGAGTAAAGAAAACTGTGAAGTGACAAGTGCATGGACACAATTCACAGAGGAGAGCAATTGCACAGTTCAGAATCTCAAACAAGAAAGCGTTTGCAGAGGTGAAGATATCCTTAGCAAGCAGCAGCACCTTGCTAATCTTGGCTAATCTCATAGGTCAAACCTGGTTAGGATTTGGGAAAGGGAAATACCTGGGAATTCTAGTGGGAAATTGAATGAAGAATCAACCTCAATTTATTTCATGCTATACAAAGTCAGCTATGATTAAAGCATCATAGATAGGCCCCGAAAACAACATAAAATGACTTATTTGCATGGGTGCCTTCATCAAGAATTGGGCTTCAAGAATTGGGCTTAATTGCTGAGTACCTTTAACATTCTAATCTATTATAGAAACCATGGTTTACATAGCTAAGAAAGAGAAGCCAGTTCTGAAATAAAGCTAACCTAAATGCAAATCTCTTTGCTCTGGTGTTATGTTTCCGGCCCATCTGATTTCTTACTTTTTACAAAAAGCAAAGCAAAATCAAATGGGGACAATCATATCCTGAGGGGTGATTAAGTTCTCCTTTCATTTCAGGGAGAGGACATTTTGGACCGCAGCTCTGAGTTGATCTACACGGGAGAAATGTCGTGGATATATCAGCCTTACGGACGAAGCCAGCAGCGCGTCTTCTTCCTTTTTGATCACCAGATGGTTCTTTGCAAAAAGGTAAGGACACGTTGGAGTCTCCTGCGGATGATCAGTGAATTTGGGTTTAAGACAGGGCAAGTCAACCTGTATCCCTAAGTTGTACTGGGCCCTGCAAAGCCTGTTTTGCAGCTGTCTTTGCAGAACAACAGAACTGGAAGGGACCTTGGGGGTCTTGTAGTCCAACCCCTTGCTCAAGCAGGAGACCCTGTACCATTTCAGACAAATGGCTGTCCAGTCTCTTCTTGAAAAGCTCCAGGGATCTTTGTTGCTCTTCTCTGCACTCTTTCCAGAGTCTCAACATCTTTATATTGTAGCGATATATAAAATCTTGAGCCACTGAAGTGGTTCAGCCCTTCCAGGCAGAGCAGACAAGAAATATGACCAGATGAGTTTGTTCTACTTTTTTGTAAGGTTATCTTAACAGAATCTTGCTAATCTGATTGTTCAAATATTCCCCCGTCTCTTTTACAGGGAGTTAAGTTAGGGAGGCTTCTTTTGAATTTCTTTCTTTGCCTGTAATGCAGCTATGGACCATGTCCTTGTCTCTTAAGGTCATTCCCACATACCGTTACAAACGGTCATTGCCAAAATTGTCAATCCTTTGGGGGCTAATTCTCTTCTCCAAACAGGAGAAGAGAACGCGTTTTGATTGTGCCTAGTTGGGTGATGTTGTGGTGCTTTTATAGCACCTGATACGATCTTGGGATTTTTTTTTTTAAAAAAAAATGTTTTTTTCCTTCTCCAAAAAAATGGTCACCCATCTCAGGTCAAAAACCAGCCTTCCTTCTTCTTATTGTTCAGTCGCTAAGTCTTGTCTGACTCGTCACAACCCAATAGATCATAGCACACGAGCCCCGACCTCCCCTGTCGCTCAGGGTTATTAGACACCTTCTGCCCTGATGGGCTAATCTTTGGGCGTCATGTCTTTCAACTTTTGGGGTGTCCATTGGGTGTTCTTGGCAAGGAGGCTGGAGTGGGTTGCCATTTCCTTCTCCAGTGGGCCACATTTTGCCAGAACTCTCCACTACGGCCTGTCCATCTTGGGTGGCCCTGCATGGCTTAGCTCATAGCTTCACTGAGCTGCAAACTCCTTGGCCACAACATGGCAGTGATCTATGAAGAGGCCAGTCTTCCTACATCCTTCCAGAGATACATCTGAAACACACATTCATTGTAAGTGACAAAGGAAAGTACACCTCTACACATTGGCTGTTTATTTATTCTCATAAGCCACTTTCTCCAGCAAAAAAAGATGGACGGACGGACAGAAGGAAGGAAGGAAGGAAGGAAATGGAAGGGAGGGAGGGAGGGAAGAAGGAAGGAAATGGAAGGAAGGAAATGGAAGGGAGGAAGGAAGGAAGGAAAGAAGGAAGGAAGGAAATGGAAGGAAGAAAATGGAAGGGAGGGAGGGAGGGAAGAAGGAAGGAAATGGAAGGGAGGAAGGAAGGAAGGCAAAGGGAGGGAGGAAGGGAAGGAAGGAAGGAGGGAGGGAAGGAAGGAAGGAAAGAAGGAAAAGGAAAGAAGGAAGGAAATGGAAGGGAGGGAGAGAAGAAGGAAGGAAGGAAGGAAAGGAAGGAAGGAAGGAAGGAAGGAAGGAAGGAAGGAAGGAAGGAAGGAGAGATGGAATGTGTGAGTATCAAATACACACTAAAATTTTCAACAAATAATCAGGAAACCTTTGGCTAGATTCTTGTTTGTCTGGAAATTTTCTCTTTCCATTGTGATGAAATCGTGTGGTTGTGTTAGAACCTGCCCTGAAATATATGTCCTACCCGTAAACGGTATGCAGATAGCATTACAAAATTTATACTAAAAATGCAGTACCTGTATTGGGAAATGTACAGTAAAAGTTATGACCATTAGGAGAAAATGCATTCAAAAGCTAGAAGATAGAGACCTTTTTTTTTTTTTTTATGAAACCTCAAAGCCTCAGCAGTCAAGAATATTTTTCCAACTTGGGCACTGAAAGCGGCCCAATTTATATTGATCTGTCTATCATTAGATTAATTTCCAGGAAAGTATGATGAATGTATAGTTTTGGTATCCGAAGCAAAGCATCCAGACTCAGTCACAGTTTTGTTCCATATAGCATCAACCTTGTGAACTCTCAAGTTTCCTCTTTCTGCTATGAGTTTAAAATGGACAGTGATTAATATTTATATTGATATATATGTATCGGCATAGGTATATACAATATGTGTGTGTGTGTGTGTGTGAATGTGTGCGTGTACATATGTATGTATGCATATATGTAGCATGTATATATGTGTGTGTGTTATGTGTGTTTATGGGTAGATACAGCTTTTCTTTTGAGAGCAGGCAACAAAATTTCATTTTTAGTGTGGGCCAGTGTGCTCACAGAAAAATTGACAATCAAGGATATCTTATCTAACTTAAAAGATTCCTTGAACGGCAATAGGTGGTTTTAGATGAGCTAGTCCTGAAATTTTCCATTGCACCTGAATTGTATTTTTCTTGGAAGGGTTTTAGAATTGGTAGAGAGGGAATCAAATCTAGGTGGTTCATTTCTGGATTGGTTCTGTAGCGGTGGAGGAAGGAGCCATGATTTCATGAGCAGCAGGTCATATGAGGATACCTTAAATCTATCCCTCACCTCTCCAGGGAATCCAGAGGAGGCCGAAAGAAATGACTCCTCTCGTGGATCCGCCTTCGATCCCTTTTCTTCACGATTCCATCTTTGAAGCTAAGGCTAATTAATAAATAAGGTCTGGTGTCAGAAGCTGAGTATCAGCTGAGTATCATGGCCTCAGCTGGGAAGTTCCGTTTGCAAGGCCAAAGTTGGCCCTCCTTTCTGATTATTCAATTAACTCTGATGTTAATTACATTGGGTTTCACTCTGCCTCTCTAGTTCAGTTCCCTGAATCTCAGTAAAAGTGTATCCAAATGACTCGTTCACTCTGTTGTGTGTGCTGCCTATGTGACACAAAGACAAAAGCTGATACAGGTCGTCCTTGACTTAACCAGAGTTCATTTAGTGACCGTTCGAAGTGACAACGGGGCTGAAAAAAGTGACTTATGACCCCCTTTCATACTTACCACCGTTGCAGAATCGCCATGTTCACGTGATCAAAATTGGCAACTGGTTCATATTTACGACGATCGCCATATCCCACGGGGGTCACGTGATCCCCTTTTTCCACCTTCTTACAAGCAAAATCCACGGGGAAGCTGGATTCATTTAACAACGGTGTTATTAACTTTTTTTATTAAAAAGTTTTATAAAGAATTACACCCCAAAATCCCCCCACCCTAACCCCCCTCGCCCTCCCCCACTTCCCAGAGCTAAATGCAGGGTTATTACAAATATAATAATCAAACTCTAAATAACATTAACCAATTATAAAATAACCAGATTCATAATATACTTTAACTCCCCTTTAACATAAATACAGACAAGTAAAATAAACATAATAATATAAACAATTCCATATTATTAAACAATATCCTAGTTATTAAACTATACTAATACTAAAAACAATAATAAAACTAATAATAATTTCACTATAATATACTGTTAATAAAAATAATACTCTAAAATTTACTCATAAAATAAATGGAACTCTTTAAGTTAGTGTTATTAACTTTTAACAGCTGCAGTGATTCATTGAACAATTGTGGCAAGCAAGGTTGCAAAATGGGACCAAAGTCATTTAACCAATATCTCGCTTAGTGACATAAATTTTGGGCTCAGTTGTGGTCATAAGTCAAGAATTACCTGTAATGCACCCCCAAAAATCCCTCTTTTGCCCTGATGATTCAACCGTGACCGTAAGGTGAAGGCTACTTGTAGCAAGCCATTTTGTATTAGCAGCTTGTGTGATTTTAATAAATGTGACATTTTTACGGGTTTAATCAGTAAAAAAAAAATCCTCTTGGCTAGGCATTTGATTTTAGCCTTCCAAAATGCTAATGCGGATGATTTTGAATTCGGCCATTTCCCCCAGTGTTTTGGATCTAAATCTTTACATGGCAACATGCAGTTAATCCGTGGGCTTTTCATTCCTGAAATGTATTTACATTTTTCGCCTTCTCTCCATTTCAACTTTCAAGGGAACGCTGATAAAACAGAATAAAATCAGACTTGGTAAAATCTATTTTATGTAATGTTGCTATGAATCTCTAGAGCCAGGTCCATACATCAGTATCATTGCAACCTAAAATGGAATAAAGAGGCAGAGAAAATGCAGACTGTGACAAGTTGCACAGGTTGAAATTTTAGAATTCATTTAAGACATTCTCCTGTTTAGACCAACAGCAGGCTGTGTGATAGAGTATGCCTTATAGCTAAAATAAAGACAAGGGTGATGTAGGGTGATCTGTCCCTATTACAGTTTGTAAATCAGTTGTTTTGTTGGTCAGGTGTTGTCCTGCCTGTGATACCTTGACACAATAATACCACAGATCAGCATTCATTGGGGCCTGAGAATCAAATGATCCCATGAAGCAATGGTAGATTTGAGAGATTATGAGACAAAACAAGAAACCCAAGAGCATGACTGAAGCAGTGTAGTGGTTAAAGGTACCAGGCCTAAAAATGGGTGACCGGGAGTTCTAGTCCTGCCTTAGTCCTGAAGGAGGCAATGGCAAACCACTTCTGAAAAAGTTGCCAAGAAATTTGCAGGGACTAATCCAGGCAGTTGCCAGAAGTCATGACTGATTTGAAGAGGAAGGAAGGGAGGGAGGGAGGGAGGGAGGAAGAAAGGAAGAAAGGGAATATAAAGCGATTGAAAGAAGGAAGGAAAAGATAAAAAGACATGGGAGGGAGGGGGAGGAAGGAAGGAAGGAAGGAAGGATAGGAAGTGATTGAAAGAAGAAAGAAAAAAAATAAAAAGAGATGGGAGGGAGGGGAGGAAGGAAAGAAGGAAGGAAGGAAGGATAAAGCGATTGAAAGAAGAAAAAAATAAAAAGAGATGGGAGGGAGGAAGGAAGGAAAGAAGGAAGGGAAGACAAAGCAATTGAAAGAAGGAAGGAAAAGATAAAAAGACATGGGAGGGAGG